GAATATACCACTGGATTCTTATCAACCCATCCAATGGAACTTGCATGTTGCGACGCTTCTTCATCCACCGAATTTTCCAGGTGTGTATCGTCAACATTCTCACGTATCATCCCTACAGCTCCCCGTCCTCAATGATTTCCACGCTTCCCCCTACAGGTACGTTCGAAATGTCCAATTTTATGACAAAAATTGCATGTAACTCCTTTTGCGGGACATCTGTCCAAACGTTCTCTTGCGAAATTTTGTTGGTCGCAGTTGTAGCATCGATTGTTATGAGAAAAATTTCCACCTCGATTTGATCCTCGCCCTTGGTATGAGCCCCGGCCCCTAGCGCGATTGTTATGATATCCTCCACCGATTATTACGACTGGTTCAGATTTGATCTGGATTCCGCCGCCTCCTGATGACAATCCTTGGGCTCCCACCGATCCCGTGGCAACATAGGATGAAGCAGGAGGCTCCCACCGATCCCGTGGCAACATAGGATGAAGCACGAGAGAGCTATCCGGTAAACCTCCTCCGGTGTTTTTGTTGACCTGCATAGTTCTTTTTGTGCTTCACGGTTATTCATATTGACAATGAATACATCCCTTAGTATCCGGTCCTCCAGTGTTCCAAAATTGCATCGCGCCGCCAGTCCGCTTAGTACGGAATGGAATTGCTCCAAACTTTCGTTAATAAACTGTTTCCGAGAGAGAAGCTGGTATGTCTCATTTCTTTCTTTCTTGAATTCCGTTTCCAGTGAGTCTATCATCCGTGGGTAACGAAACGTCGAGAGATCCAGATGCGGTCGTCTTTTGTGAAGTTCGTCTTGCCCCTTTTCCCCCAGACACAAATACAGATTTGAAATTAGTACTTGTTCTGACTCCAGTCGATTCTTACCATCTACTTCCGCGGGCAAAGCAGTAACTTGGGCGGCTGTGAGAGTCACTGCGTAATAGTAGTTCTTCGGGTCTATTGAGTGCTTAGCTACCATTCCCCATTGGAATCGGTTAATCCAGAATTCCCACATCATAGGCGGTTCCGTAAATTTCGCTGGCCAAAATCCGGTGATACCCAGTGGATTCTTCCCCCCACCTGAGACTGCTGGCTGCGCCATGTCGGGAGTGAGAAAACGCTAGTCGTCCAATTGTGAATTCCAATACAAAGATAGTCAACTTAATCTTACAAAGTTAGCATAGAGAGTGGTTGTAAAGAGTATCCAAGGGTGACAGACTTGTTCCAAGGACAAACACCAGCTAATAAATTACTTTCGTATCAAGAGTGACAGTTGATTGACAGCTTGCAAATATGAACTAAATAACACTATACAACAGTCCACTCTATCAGAACTATTACGAGCATATAACTGTTAAACCGACACCATAATTAACCTAGCTGGTTGGAAAAATGTTAAAGAACAACAAAACCGACATCTACACAACATTTATTATTTCGTACTGTTTTTAGACTGATGATGGCGTGAAGCCGAAAACGTTTTCGAATAGATTATTAATATTGATCCCTGTTTTTTCTACTATCAGCCTTATCAATGTTCCTCTCTTGTCGACTTTTGAAGTGACGGAGTTTTTGCCGCGTGTTGGCGTAGGAGAGTGAAGCTGCTGGACACGAGTCTACGTACCAATTTTCTGAAGAAGTGCCTTGATAACGACTACATTCCAAGGTTCTAGCTGTTCCGGACCCCAGAGAATGGTTGTTATGATGAGCGGATTAATCGCAACTTTCCAGAGAAGATTGCTACGGAGGGGGCTGGCCAAAGCTCATATCAATTAAGAGCAACATATTAGTGAGCTTGATGAAAATCGTTCAGTCCAGCCAAGCTGATTCCTTCGATTTCTCACCACTCCAGACGAGGAGTTCTACAATTGAGAAAACAGCAGACGGAGAAGCATTAATTGAAACTCCACTGTCGGCGGAGCAGGAGCGCCCCTTGAGGCCGAGGGGTCCCACTATTCGGGTTCCTAAGGCCGTCCACGTTCCAGACTTTGTTGTGGGCCTCTTATCTTTAGGTCCTAAGAATCCTGGCGGAGACGGATTTAGTGAGCTGTCTTTTTGGGAAGATTTTGAGTTGCTTGAGCTCCTTAGGAGAGGTTTACACCGATGTACTGAACAAAACGAATGCTGCTGCGATTTGGTATCTTTCGGTGGCAAAGAAGACTCGCCCGGATCTGCATTTTTCTGCCCTGAATTTCTCTATTTTGAGCAACACTGACTACTATGAGAAACTAGATACTGTCACTTCCGGTCCCCAGTTTACGGAAGTGAAGTCGACTGATCGTATTATGCTGAAGACGGAAAAGAAGTTCAATTGAGCAAAGAAGACTCGCCCGGATCTGCATTTTTCTGCCCTTAATTTCTCTATTTTGAGCAACACTGACTACTATGAGAAACTAGATACTGTCACTTCCGGTCCCCAGTTTACGGAAGTGAAGTCGACTGATCGTATTATGCTGAAGACGGAAAAGAAGTTCAATTGAGCAAAGAAGACTCGCCCGGATCTGCATTTTTCTGCCCTTAATTTCTCTATTTTGAGCAACACTGACTACTATGAGAAACTAGATACCGTCACTTCCGGTCCCCAGTTTACGGAAGTGAAGTCGACTGATCGTATTATGCTGAAGACGGAAAAGAAGTTCAATTGAGCAAAGAAGACTCGCCCGGATCTGCATTTTTCTGCCCTTAATTTCTCTATTTTGAGCAACACTGACTACTATGAGAAACTAGATACTGTCACTTCCGGTCCCCAGTTTACGGAAGTGAAGTCGACTGATCGTATTATGCTGAAGACGGAAAAGAAGTTCAATTGAGCAAAGAAGACTCGCCCGGATCTGCATTTTTCTGCCCTTAATTTCTCTATTTTGAGCAACACTGACTACTATGAGAAACTAGATACTGCCACTTCCGGTCCCCAGTTTACGGAAGTGAAGTCGACTGATCGTATTATGCTGAAGACGGAAAAGAAGTTCAATTGAGCAAAGAAGACTCGCCCGGATCTGCATTTTTCTGCCCTTAATTTCTCTATTTTGAGCAACACTGACTACTATGAGAAACTAGATACTGTCACTTCCGGTCCCCAGTTTACGGAAGTGAAGTCGACTGATCGTATTATGCTGAAGACGGAAAAGAAGTTCAATTGAGCAAAGAAGACTCGCCCGGATCTGCATTTTTCTGCCCTTAATTTCTCTATTTTGAGCAACACTGACTACTATGAGAAACTAGATACCGTCACTTCCGGTCCCCAGTTTACGGAAGTGAAGTCGACTGATCGTATTATGCTGAAGACGGAAAAGAAGTTCAATTGAGCAAAGAAGACTCGCCCGGATCTGCATTTTTCTGCCCTTAATTTATCTATTTTGAGCAACACTGACTACTATGAGAAACTAGATACTGTCACTTCCGGTTCCCAGTTTACGGAAGTGAAGTCGACTGATCGTATTATGCTGAAGACGGAAAAGAAGTTCAATTGAGCAAAGAAGACTCGCCCGGATCTGCATTTTTCTGTCCTTAATTTCTCTATTTTGAGCAACACTGACTACTATGAGAAACTAGATACTGTCACTTCCGGTCCCCAGTTTACGGAAGTGAAGTCGACTGATCGTATTATGCTGAAGACGGAAAAGAAGTTCAATTGAGCAAAGAAGACTCGCCCGGATCTGCATTTTTCTGCCCTTAATTTCTCTATTTTGAGCAACACTGACTACTATGAGAAACTAGATACCGTCACTTCCGGTCCCCAGTTTACGGAAGTGAAGTCGACTGATCGTATTATGCTGAAGACGGAAAAGAAGTTCAATTGAGCAAAGAAGACTCGCCCGGATCTGCATTTTTCTGCCCTTAATTTCTCTATTTTGAGCAACACTGACTACTATGAGAAACTAGATACCGTCACTTCCGGTCCCCAGTTTACGGAAGTGAAGTCGACTGATCGTATTATGCTGAAGACGGAAAAGAAGTTCAATTGAGCGTTGCAGCGGCTTCATCGCAATGGCGAAATCTCTCATGAGGTTTTGCAGAAGATTACAAGCTGTGGCGTTCAACCTGCTCGGTTGTATGGGCTTGCCAAAGTTCATAAGGATGGCACTCCTCTCACACCCGTTCTTTCACTCCCAGGAAACGTGTATGAGAGTCTCACCAATTTCCTTTCTCGGTTTCTTGAGGACATTGACTAAGCCAAGATTGAGTGTTCCACGTTACCGATCAAGGAACGTTTGTGTGAGGTTGTCTTGGATGAAGATGAGGTGCTGATTTCTTTTGACGTCGAAATCCTGTACACCAACGTTCCATTTGACGAGTTTATTGCGATGGCTGCTGACATTTTGTACAAGAACCCCCAGAGTTCGACAAAGCGACATTCGTCGAGTTGATGGCTTTGGCCGTGAAAAATTTCGTGTTGCAAGTGCGGGGGGATAGAAGGCCCAAGTTGACGGTTTAGCTATGGAATCGAAACTGGCCGTTTTCGCAGCCAACATCCGGATGAAGGTTTTGAACAGTACATAGGTGGCAGCCGAAAAGAAGAGGTCGATGATCAGATTGGTGCTCTCCTTGTTGAAGGCTCGGTCAGGCATCCATGTGGGCAATGAGTTATTTATGATTGGCACTATGTTTCTTCAATTTATACCATTTGGAGAAAACTGAATCATTAGATTTTTTATACAACTCGCTGAAAGTTAGTCATTCAAATTTTTAGTGACCTTTGATAGTGTAGTTTGCTTTCCTTTTAACGGAGGATGTGAGCTCAGGATTAAAAAAACTCAAGTCAAACCGCGAAAAAACAAACCTGGGCGCGAGCAAATTTTAAGAATTCCTCCTGGAAAAAATCATCACGACCTACATAAGTGACAATCATTTGTTCTTTTATGATTAAAAATTCATCATGACTTATATAAGTGACAAATACTTCTTTCTCTTCTACCTCAAAAGCAGTTAGTAGCTTGAACAATTCAACAGTAAAAGCACTGGAGGCAAATGACTTGAAAATTTGACGCGCAACATTGACTCACCTTAGAATGTTCTTGGAAAACCGCTGCATGCAGAGGTGTCCATCGAGTGGCAGCATTTTGAAAATTTACATCTAAAATAAGTATAAACAAATATTGACTTCACAAATTCTGTATATTTATAAATTGAATTACTCGCCAGCTTTGAACTCTATCAGTCTGGAAACCAGATCCGAGAAACCCCAAAAAGCACCTAAAGTCAAATATATAAATTCTAATACAGATTTAGACGATACAAATCAATTGCAGATAATATACAAACAGGTGTAGAGATAGTATTGCAGAACAGCTCTCTGGTTTTCCAAAGTTAACTCGGGGCAGCTGATTTGTTCGCCCAGAAGATCAACTATCAGCTAAAAGAAGTAGATTATCATTTATCATGACAAAATATGACGAATATTACCGACCCTAGATTATGGGGCACAGGTGCAAAAAAATTAATTCTGAAAAAGGAACCTTAAGGGTAACTCTCCCAATCCCTTATCAATTCCGCACATACCAAGAAAAAAGACGCTCTTACATCGTCATGTCCAATTTGTGACATAGATGAATTCCCCAGTGCATAACTTTTTGTCATAGCCAGACGATCTTGAACCTCTGACAAAACTGACAGAACTCTGTCCCCTGACATCTCAGCTACAGAACTGATTCCATGACAATCTGGATATATGAAATAGATAAATGGCAAACTAACACAGGCTAGGCGCAGGGAGAGTTATGAATAAACATTAATTGCGAATTAAAGTGAATTTTAAAAACGGGTTGGTATGTCATAATTATATTACAAATATAGCGTAAATATTGATACAAAACACACGCACAGACTGTGTGCCAGTCGGTCATATCTGGAAGTTTGACCTTGAGGGACACGAAAATACGTGATTTTGGAGTGAAGTTTTATTTTTCAAAATTTCGAATGGAGCCTGTCATGCTCAGTTTTCTCGCAACAACTGAAAACACAAAGTGAAAAATCAGAACGACCGAATTTACAATTGCGGGAAATTACTTAAGAAAACAGCAGGAAATTGCTATTCGCAATTTCCAGATACAAAATAAGACACGAGTAGAGCCGTCTTATCCTGCAATAGGAGGCGAGATACTCACGAGAGAAGAGAGCAATTATTCAAACTGAACCAGAGTGAACCTTCAACGGAAAGGTGGACAGCTGGAGTGTCCCAATGGTTCAGACTAAAACTTCAATTCTAGAGTCTAAACTTATTTCTGTAATTAAAACTGATTAGTAGTGAACTTATCAAGTTATCTTATTTAATTCTCGAGTTGCTCATCAATTTAATTACTCCTTGTACTCGAGTGCGTCGACATGTGAGTTCCAAATTTAGTTTTCTCGAGTGTGTTTTATGATTGTTATGTTGAGATAAGGCGAGTTTTAGGTTGATCCATCTGAAATGGATCAAGGTTCCACTGTCCTATAAAAAGTAACTTAACGGATTGTTCCGACCCTGTTTTTAACGGCGTTCGTGTATTTTGGGTATTTTGAGACCTAAGTATGGGAACGTTCTTATTTTCTAGAGTGGGGGATATTTTGGTAGTAGCCTTTAAGCTGTAACGGGTTCTAGTCTCATGTCGCAAGCGAACCGAATTGGCTCCGACCGTTCTTGAGGTAGAAAAACACAAGAGATAGTGTCCCTGACTCTTGAGCCAATGGTTATAGGGCCAATTTTTTTAAGCCTCATATGTGACCGAAGTAGGCGACTGTTACATAGTGTTTTTATGGCGCTCCTGGGTGTTTTTACGACATCATGACTACGGAGTCGAACCCACTTGACACAGCTCCGGGCTGCATGCCCATTCTAGAGTACCGGTGGTACGGTTCTGCGGGAACGTGTAAACCTTCCGGTTCTACCGTGATAGTTTTTTAAGAAAACTTGAGAAAAATTCCGAACGAGGCCTAGCTAACCGAGAAAGGGGGGTGACTAGGGGGACAAAAACACGAGCAAAAAGACAAAAAGTGAAACAAAAACCAGAAAAAAGTGTAGAAAAAGGAACAAAAACCATAAAACAAAAAAGACAGTGACTTTCATACCAGATCATTTGGATCAAACCTTTATATTAATTAAATAGTATACCCATACTGTTTTATAAGACCGATCGTTTCGATCAATCTAGCAATCTAAACCAGTGACTTCAATAAGGTGCCCAAGTGGGGGGCGTTGTTAAGGGTTTTCAGATAGATTGCAACCTAGCCAGACCACTAGGAGACTTGACTGGAAAGGGTGACCAGCTAAGTGGGAAAGTGGTTCACAAGGACCGAACCGGACCACTAGGAGACTTGACTGGAAGACGTGACCAGCCGAGTGGGAAAGTGGTTCAGAGGGACTGAGCTGAACCGCTAGGAAACTTGACTGGAAGAGGTGACCAGCCAAGTGGGAAGGTGGTGCTGCTGTCAAGTGCAGTGCACGTCAATGGAGACAACCAGCACGGGATCACAACAAGAGGACGCACAGGGGTGTTCTCAAGTTGGGCAAACGGGTATCGTTAAAATCCACATTACATTATAGGAGATAAGTGTAAAATTGGATAAGCGGAGCCCCACTGTTTTGAGGAAGTTTTTACACAAGCAGTCCTGGAAACAGGTCTACGGTTTTCTCTAGAGAGGTTTAGCACCCGGCGTTTAAGGGATTTTTCGGCTTAAGAGGGGGGCTAAAGAGGGGGGAGGTTAGAAGGGGGCTGGTTAGGTTAGAGGTTAGCGGTTATAAATTGTAAAAAGGGGAGACACATTAGAGTAACTAATTGTTCGGCATCGTCGATTTAGTTACATTAGATACTTACACGCGTTGGTTAGAAGAAGCGGATATCCAATTTTAACATCAGGTTAAGGTAGGTACCCTGGTCGGATCGGTAGGGGGGAACGGAAATAGACAGTTTTTGTGATACCCCATAAGTTCGCAAGCAGGGGGGAGGAAAACGCGTGGCAATCGGATACCAGACATTTTTTCGGACAAAGATTGACATCTGTCAACCTTGAATTTTAGGTGAATTCATCTCTCTGTTTTTGAAATTTTTCCTGTTTAAATTTTTACGTTTTGGTGAAAATTTGTTTTTGGTATTTTAACGAACAGGTGATCACAAGATACCTGCGGGGAATTTAGGGTTTCAAATAGCCTGCAACATCGAGAGGTAGATAAATACAGGGGGGTCAGTATTTGGGTTTTGGCCATTAAAATAGGGATTTTGGGAAAATTTTTACTAGAGCTCAAGTGGTGGTAAACGGTACAGTGGTTCAAGAGTCCCTAAACCGAAGAAGAAGAGATCCTATATCCAGACACTCAGTGACAAGTCTTGGGACAGTACCGAAGTAGTCTTGGGACATTGCAGTCTGGGGACAGTCTTGGAGCAACGCGGTCTTTGGACAGTCTCGGGACAGAGCAGTCTTGGGACAGTCTTGGGACGGTGCAGTCTTAAGACAGTCTTGGACCAGAGCAGTCTTGGGACAGTCTTGGACCAGAGCAGTCTTGGTACGAAACAGTCTTGGGACACTAGTCTTGGGACAGTAGTCTTGGGACAGTGGTCTTGGGACACTGGTCTTGGGACAGTGGTCTTGGGACAGTAGTCTTGGAACACTGGTCTTGGGACAGTGGTCTTGGGACAGTGGTCTTGGGACAGTAGTCTTGGGACAGTGGTCTTGGGACAGTGATCTTGGGACAGTGGTCTTGGGACAGTAGTCTTGGGACAGTAGTCTTGGGACAGTAGTCTTGGGACAGTAGTCTTGGGACAGTGGTCTTGGGACAGTAGTCTTGGGACACTAGTCTTGGGACTGTAGTCTTGGGACACTAGTCTTGGGACAGTAGTCTTGGGACAGTGGTCTTGGGACACTAGTCGTGGGACAGTAGTCTTGGGACAGTAGTCTTGGGACAGTAGTCTTAGGGCAAGGGTCTTGGGACAGTGGTCTTGGGACACTAACAAGAAGTACTGGGACAACACTGAATAGTCTTGGGACAGTAGAGAGAAAGTCTTGGAACAGTATAAAGAAGGGGGTACTAAAAGAGTACTAAGTCAGGTTGAAGTAACCAATTGCAAAATCAAATTTTCTATCCAATCCTAACATATAGAATTTTCAAAAGCTCAGGAAACGTTGTTTTTAGCAAATTGTAAACTTCTTCTTATAAAATTTTGTCAAAAGAGGTTTTAACCTTAGAGTAGAATTTTGTAGATAGTAAAACTGTAAATAGAAACAATTGTAAATAAAATTAATGAGGCGGAGCGGGCTACCGGTAGCTGAAAAAAGATCTACTGAAGCGAAGACAAAATATAACTCGTCGATACGTAAAACAACATCAATGGGTCCGAAGGTAACAAAGAAGAACTTTTCAGTTAGTATGGTCAACACGAGGAGTACTACGGAGAACAGAGCAAAAGAGGGCACGGAAGGGGAACGAGTAGAACCCACCATCGAGATTGAACTAGAGACACCGGATCAAAGTGTGGATGAAGTGGGAAAGAAAACGACGGAGTCAACTCCGATGCCCAATGCGGAAGAACCTAATCCGATGCCCATGGAGTTCTCACCGATAGACAACGTGGAAGACACAACAGGCAACACCCCAGAAACGGTGAAGGAGGAGTCTCAAGCAAAGAGAACGTCTTTGAATGAAAGATTGGCGATGATGGTCGGAATGAAATCGAGAGACGCAGCAGTGGAGGAGACGAAAGCCGAGAAAAGCAAAACATTCGGAACAGTATCCACGAGAACGACAGAGACCGACCAAAACGAGGATCAGAAAAAACCGGGACCAGCGACCGACTACAGGACAACAACGGACAATGGAACAACTACTCTTGAGCTAAGCGACCTGATGGCGAAGCTAGATCAGATAGACGAGAAACTGAAGCACAGCGAAGAGGATAGAAATGTGATAAGGAAGGAAATGAGAAATAACAAACATGAGTACCTGGACAGCTATTTCCATCTAGCGAGAGCAACAGAGGAAAAGCTTCAGCAGATGTCTGACAAAGTAGACACCACTGATGGAGAGCGAGATAAGAACATCAGAAAAGACATGCGAGAAATGAAGCAGCGATATGACATAGTGAATAGCCAGTTGGGGAGTTTGGAAACGAGAATGGATACGATGAGTAGGGACCAGGCTGAGAGCTCAAGTGCAATACAGACAAAGTTAGACGCTATCTTGAGGAATTCAACACCACAAGACAGGCCAGCGGCGGAGCGGACACAACGTAATAGAGTTGACTTCGTGGAACCACAAAGGAACAAACGACAGTTAACACCGTTACCAGTACCCCGGGAGGCTGCGAGAACGGCACCGGTGGGGGCAAAGGCGATTATAAAAAGTGGAACAGCGAACACAACAAGTGGTCCAGGAGACTCCACGACTCACAACAACGTGGGACCGGATGCCATGACATGGGCAAGCACCTGGGAAATGATGAACAGGACACTAGAAGCCTTCGCTACAAGGAACACCGACTCGAGTGACAGAGGAAGCAACAAATCCAGGAAAACTTTCAAGAAACCAAAATAATTCAAAGATGATTCAGACGGATGCATTGACACTTGGGTAGAAGTCATGAGGTTGCACTTGAAACAAGACAACTTGAACGATGAGAGGCAAGCATGCACAGCGATACTGAGCAACCTGGAAGGCACGGCATTGAAATGCGTGGTTGCGAAGAAAGAAGAGGA